TTATATCCATGTATATGTATTTGTACATATATATATACAAATACGTTTATATTTATAAGCTTCACATTGTACGTATACTTTTTGTACATGTTAATACAAACGAAATGAAAATACGTGAAAAGAAGTTTATGCTATTTGAGCAAAACGATTAAACATTCAAGCGAGTAGATAATGAGAAATAGAGCACGTAAAGTGGAAACTAAAAATTGTGATCTGTAAAATTTGTTATTTGGAGTTCTTGATTTGGAGTTCTTGATTTGGAGCTCTTAATTTGGAGCTCTTAATTTGGATTTTCCAGAGTTTGAACTTCCCAGCTTCCATTTCACAATTTCTGCTTTGTAAATTTTAAATTGAACGGAAAATCTTGGAAGATATAAGAACGTAAACTGAAACGAAAGAGTTTCAAGTCTAGCTAATGAAACAAGGGTGGCGACGCACTCCTCTGAAGAAAGGAAAAAGGGTCCTGCGAATACAAAAAAGTATGAGACGCAGGAATATAGGAAAAAAGGAAAACAGAAATTTTGTTAACAAGTGAACAATATAACATATCATAATATATAGAAAAAATCAGTTCTAACAAATCTGAAAAGAAACACATGGCACACAAGAATAGGTCTAATTAAGAATTACGTTCACGCTTTTTTCCTTTGCAGATAAAGAAAGTAACAACAACAAAAGCAACAAACAAAAAATATTATAAAAAAGAGAAGAATTTTAATTTATTTTACAGAAGCGCGCAGACAACTGAGACAATGAACTTTTCATATTTTTATTATTTTATAATTGATTATAAAATTGAATACACACATATATATATATATAGGAATATATGTAAACCTTTAAGAGTATACATTTTTGATGATTATATAAAATAGTAATTCTTCATAAAGCAACGAAAAAAGAAAAAAAAAAAAAAAAAACAAGAGCATATCCAAAAAGCATTTTTCGCTAAATTCTTATTTAAAGCAAAAGATTTGGAATACTGCTGATAGTATTTTATGTTTACTTCTTGAAGAATAATGAAATGTATTATGTAATTATTTAAACCGTTTTCGCTTGAGGTATATATTTTTTTTTTCTATGTTTTCATTATACAGAAGAGTTGCACATACATATATATGTATATATATAGATATATTAAATAAATGTCTATACTATTATATATACGTATATACACTTGTACATATTTGCGTACATATGCATATATTTCCTTGTATAATGATGAATGAGGAAAAATCAGCACGAACTGCTGTTTCATTTTAAGTAATTTTTCTTTTTAATTATCAAATGATATCAGCAAAACGTGATTATGTTTTTTTTTTTTTAAACATGCACATATAGCAAGAAGTACATTAATGTTTACATAGCTTACACGCCCACGTGCACCTATATATATATATATATATATGTACATGTATATGCGAACGCAGCATTGTTGACCTATTATTTTTTTAATCTTCAAAGCATTTATTTTTCAATGAATTAAAATATAAACATATGCAGCCTGTACACACACCCGTATTTAGTAATCCACCATTCTTCATGTGATTGCGCATTTATAGTTTAATTTACTACATGTCTTTTATGGAATAATGAAGGCGAAAAATACATTTTGAATGAAAATTTACATACTTTTCTGAGATGTCATAATTTTTTATACTAGTTCAAGTGAACATCTCTGGATACATTTTGTCAATACTTGAGTATATATTGCATCTATAGTTGTTATCTTGTTCGATTTAACATAATTCCATTTTGTTCCATTTTGCATAATATATTTTTATGCTATTTTGTTTTATTTTTCGCACCTTTTTAATTTTTGTTTGATAAAACATTAGCACCGTTGTACAAGTGCAGCAAGCCCTCCAAGACCTTGAGAGCATGGCCATCTATTGGGATTCACATAAGGGCGTTAAAAATTATGCCAGAATCAGCTTACGTGAACAGATGTACATATATATATATATATGTGCAGATGCTAATGCTTAAAAAGATTTTCAGTTAATATTACTCATAGTCGCACGAGAATTTGCATCCCCAGAACGGATAAGAAGAATCTTGTAAAAAAAAAAAAAAAAAAAAAAATTAATAAAATTAATAATCTTTCCTCTCTCCTCACCCCAACCGTACTGCTTATCCATTCCCATTTGTTGTACACATATGTGACTTCCAAATTATGATAATAAAGAAAATAGCCATTGATGAAAATGATAAATTGATACATAACAAAAACAATTCTTTACAAAAAATAGAAAAAACAAAAAAGAAATATGTCAACTCCAATTTAAACACTATTACAAGTCAAAATTTTATGAGTAATGTTGAAAATGAAAATTTTCAATGGGATCATATTAATAATGGAGAAGAAAATACAAAATTTGAAAAAAATAACAAAAAAATAATAATGAATAATAGTAATGCAAATACGGATTTTTATACTCCTGAACAAGATAACTGGGTACAATGTGACCTATGCGAAAAATGGAGAAAATTACCTGCAAATATTGATATGAATAATTTACCAAAAAAATGGTATTGTAATTTAAATAATGACGAGAAATATAATTCTTGTGATATTGAAGAAGAGTTACTTATCTATAATAATGACTTAAGCAAAAATTCCCTTTCAGGGAATCTCACTGTTGATATTGTTAATGAGTATGAAAAGGGTGTGAACACAGATAATATTATTAACAAAGGTAATCATAATGATGGTCATAATGATGGTCATAATGATGACCATATTGATGACCATAATGATGGTAAAACCACGTTTATCTCTTCCACAATTGACCAAAATACATATTATGATGAGAATGTACAAGATTATTTAAGTGACAAAAAATCATCCGATTCGAGAACATCATATACTGATGCAAATGAGTTTGTAATCAGTGAAAAATCCAAAGGGTTTCATCGTAATAGTACTGATAAGAATATAAAAAATAATCAGTATGACCATAAGAATTTCAGTAAATCCGAACTGAATGGAGAAATTTTCATTCATGGTAAAAATAACTCATCATGTGAAATTGTTAACAAATCGGTGTTTCATTTTGGAAATGCTAGTAAAACAGATTGTGTGAATATAGTGAAAAAAAAAAAATATATAAGTAAGAGCAGGAGTGTTTATGACCACATGAATGATGAAAGCTGTTGTAAAAGTCATGACGACAGCGACGATGGAAGGAGTTGCAATTCCCACGACATGAACACCTTGCAGGAGAGCATAAACACCAAATGGAAAAATGGAAAAAAAGGAATAAATCTGTTGAAAAAAACTTATAAGAAAGGAGAAGAAGTAGGAAGAATATCAGGGAGCGATAACAAATGTAACGCACGTGTCAAGAATGCACAGTTCGATATGGATCCTAGTAGTTTTCCAAAGAATAAGGACTTCACTAATCCATTTATAAAGCAGAAGAAGAAGAAACGGAAGAACATAATAACTAGGCACAAAAGAAGCAACAGTGATGGAAACATTTACGAGAAAAAAAGAAATAGAAATGAAAATCATCTGTACAGAACCCATACAAGTGACACTGATATAAACAAAACAGGCAATGTAAAAAAATTTAAAAACTATAAAAAAAAAATTAATAATTCGATCACCCCATTTTATTCATATATGCACTCAATCATTAACATAAATTTGAAAAAAAAAATAAACAAACCTATGAATGAGGTAAAAAGCCAGAAGAGGAGAAATAACAAAAAAGGAGTAGATGTAAATCAAAACGGAATTACAACATACGAAATGAAGGAGAAAATAGAAGACGATAATAGCAACACTGATAAGTATATCATCCCAGTTGGTGTGTCAATGGACAGAAAAAAAAAAAATAATTGTAAAAAAAAAAAATATAGCGATACAGATCAAGAAATAAATAACAACACTATGGGGGAAAAAAAAAGTCAGAAAACTAAAAATTATCCTGCTCAGATGAAACATGAAGTGGATGGAAATGTAAATTTTATTAAGCACACGCCAAACGAAAGAGAAGAAGACCATGGTGATGATTATATTGCAATGGACAAACAAAATAATGGATTTCTTCTTCACCATAGTGATGTTATTCTAAATGATCGAACGACATATGGAAGAATGCATGATTTGAATATAAATCCTACATACACACCAAAAAAAAATTATGATATTTATGATGAGCATAATACCAATCTCGCTTCAAATAAAATGGTGTATTATAATTCACCAAATAGTAACAATAATGACGAAACAGAAGAGGCAATTAATTCCTCTGATGGAGTCAAACGAATGAACGCAAGTAATAGTGCAGAAAATGGAACTATTACTGGTGCATCGAATAATGTAGTAAATTGGGTACAATGTGAAGATTGTAAAAAATGGAGAAAAGTGGATGCACATATCAACATTAGTATGCTACCGGACGAATGGTATTGTTCTCTTAACTTCTGGAGTAAATATAACATTTGTGAAATGGAAGAAGAAATACTCATTGAAGAAAATGTGAACACAGAATCTCAGCAATGTTCTGACAGAATGCAAGAGGAAGAAGAAAATCTCCCAATGTTGAGTTCTTCATTGTCAGATAAAAAAAGTGAAAAAAATGATAATAGGTGTCATAAAAACGAACGAAATAACAAGAAAAACATAGCAAAGATGACCAACAACAATTCATGTCAAACCCCAGATAAACTTAACAATCAGGGAAAAAGTAAAACAAAGAAAAAGAATCGAAGTGTTAATAGCAGAACAAATAACAACACCGATGCGATAAAAATGAAAGAAAAGAAAATTTCTTTGTTGAATAAATCCAACAAAAAATCACCCAAAGGAGGTAATTCAGTTGAGGTAAATATATCAAATATAAATTTGCAGGGTTTAAAAAATAACATGCTGAGTGAATACATGATGATGGACGATAATAAAACTTTTCTTTCTTACATTAAAGAAAATAAATTCATTGATAATTTTAAGGAGTACGAGTTTTATAGCCATATGCTGAGATACAATTACTCCTTACCCCCAAATTATTATGATTTAAAAAACCCGTTTTACAAAATGGAAGGAGTAGAAGAGAATAAAAGCAGCAACAGTGATATAATGTGTTCAGATAACAAAGGAGAAAAACATATCTTAACGAGAGAAGAGTTATTTAACAATTTGCCAGTTTCAACATGTGTGTCACGCGAAAGGTATAATATGCCAATACATTCGTCATACACATCTATGTGCTCACAGGAAGGGAACTTTTTTAATGATGGATTTGTAAAAAACCACAATAGGAGTAGTAGTAATAGCCACCTTATTATGCATAATGAAAATGAAAATAATAATAATAATAATAATAATAATAATAATAATAATAATAATAATAATAATAATAATAATAATAATAATACTTCATTTGAGGGGCTAGAAGAGAGAAAAAACAAATCTAGCAGCCATTTTCAAGAGGATGTTAATAAATATTGGCATTTATTAAATGATGGGAAATTAAATTATTATTTAAATAATGCAAATATGTATAAAATGTTTCATTATTTGCCAAAATATGATTACTGCAAATATTACAACACGATTGATAGTCAAATTAATGAGGAAGAATTAATGAACAAGAAAAAAAAAACCCTTTTGGAAAAAAATAGAAATATGGAGAACAGCACTAATACTAGTTTTTCATATTGTCCTTCCATTTGTTTAGATGAATATAAGATGAAGAGATCCAATTCTCACAATTTGGTATGGGATAGTGGAAACGAGGTCTATACCAATTCCACACTAGTGAAACAGGAGTTAGAAAAAAATTACCTTTCTGACGGTATCCTACAAATAAAGAAAAACAAAAGAAGAAAGTTCATTAAAAAGAATCGTGATTGTAATAATTACATGGAACAAAAATCGAAAGCATCTCAATTTTTACATTTTAACAAAGATAATAATAATAATGAGCATGAGGATGATGATTTTTATTCCTTAAATAATGATAACTCCACGAGTAATTATAAATTTATAAAAAGTGAATGCAGGTCATCATCATACCCTGTGGTTGTAGAACCGAAACATTATGAGAAAAATATCGTAAGATATAATTCGCATCAAAAAAGAAAAATTCAGTACATGATAAAAAATTTATATAAAACAAATACTCCTTTGCATAATTACAAAGGGGATAATAGTACTAGTGGTGGTTCTAGCACCACACATCGAGATGTACTAATGGAAAATCATAGGGAAGATGATGATATGAATGAGAATGATAAAGAACAGAAAGAGAACAATAAAGAAGGTTATAATAACATCAAACTTTGTGATCTACTAGTTAAGAGGATGCAAATGGATGATAACTACAAAGGTACAATTATTAATAGAAATATAAATTTAGAAGTACCATATATCAAAATCTCAGATAAAGGAGTCTTAGATTCGAAATGTACTACTGTTCAGGAAGGGGAGGAGGGGGAAGGTCATAATTATGAGGATACATATTTGCATACTCATGTGAATAATGAAAATGAATCTGTCAGTAGAGGGGAAAAATCTCTATTTGTTGGAAAAACTAACATGGATGGTAATTATGAAACATATTTTGAGAATTCCCTTCAGAACGAAAAAAAACATGAACTAAGTCAAATGTATTGCAATAGCACGATTAACAACAAAAGGAATAATGATTCCTATGATCCAAATATTAGTTCTATTGCTACTTATCATTTTAATGATGAAGACATGGATAGAAAAATTGTATCTCATTATCTACGTCACAATAATATTGATAAAATAATTGGAGGGAAAGAAGGAGACTTAAATTGTCATACCTCTATTGTCGACATGAACAGACCAATTTGGGAAAATGATCTAAATAGTACATTTATTGATAATATTCAAAGATTGCCAAGTGACACGAAGAAGAGTGCTATTCTTGATGGTGGAAGTAGCACAATTTTTAAAAGTGAAGAAAAAATAATGTGTAAATACAGGGATGACTCAAAAATTCAGGAACAGCAAGAAGGGGATAATAGATTGACTGATCTGTATTCAAAGAATTATATAGACGAAAGAAATTATGACAGTATTTTGCTGCGAACGAAGAAAAGTAAATCTTTAAGCAAGTTAGAAGAATCGCCTCATTATTTTTTTCCCTTGGATAGAAATCAGCGTAATTTTCTCATAAATAATAGTGCTAATAATAACAGTAGTAATAGTAATAATAATAGCAGTAGTAATAATAATAGCAGTAGTAATAATAATAGCAGTAGTAATAATAATAATAATAGCAATAACAATAGTAGTAATAATAACAGACCCCAAAACAGCCCATGTAATAGAACAAATTTCGAAGACTACGCCGATTTACATCGAGATGACATTGCTAATGGTGAAGTTGGTGCAAATATCTCGGGTATGCATTTAGAGAATCTTATGAGAGACAATTTCATAAGTAAATATTATGCCAAATTGAAAAATGAAAAAATTGATACATATATTAAGAACGATTTTAACACATTATTAACTTCAGATGACTATATTAAACTTGGAGAATACCTAAAACGAGGTAGAGGAGGAAGTCATACTAATCACTTTGAATATATTTCCATGAAAACTGATAGTAAAGAGGAAAAAAGTATTCATAACAGAAATGCAATTACTTCAACCCATGATAACTCCATTTTAAGAAACATTTACTTTAACAGCTTACCTAACTTTTATTCACTTAATAAATTAATGACAAGAATTCCTCTGAGCCATGAAATGAGTGAAAGTAATTACACCCACACCGAGACTGACGTGGGAATAATTGGACCTACTGGAATTACAAATGTATTCTCAGGAATGGTAAAAAACGATGATGACGTTAGTAATAATAACAATAAACAGAGCAAGAGGCACACTCAAGCAAATTCGCAGAAGAATTCCATAAAGGGTTCAAAGATTTTGTGCAGAAGTGAGACAAACTCGAAAAGCCCATCTAAGCACGTGGGAAACAGTAAAAAAGGTAGCGAAAAAAGTAACGAAAAAAGTAACGAAAATAAAGGTAAAAATGCAAAACTGAAAGGTATCCACGTGGATACACTGAGAAGCGATAGTGTTGTATGTGTTACCAGCAAACGAATTCCTGATCGGGGAGAGGAAAAGGAGAAAAACGAAAAAATTGGGAAAGGCAAAAAGGTAGAGAGAAACGAGAAGGGAGATAAGAATGATAGACATGACAAGCACGTCCAAAATGATAGAAATGATAAACGCGCCCCAAATGATAGACATGAGAAGCACGACGTGCAAGATAACAACGAGTATGTGACATTCACAATGGATTACAACGAAAATAAAAATATCATCAAGGAACTTATTAGGAATCGAGCCAATCTGTTATCCGTATGGACCCCAAGAGGGAGTGTATCATCATCTTCATTACATGAGAAGTTATTATCACATGGTAACAGCACGAATAAGAGGGAATCGTACAAGGGAGACCGAATAAAAACAACCATACTGAATGCAAAGAATTTGAAGAAACACATCTTAAGTAACCGTGTCATCATATATTCTAAAGGTGGAGTATCCCTAGCATATAATGTAGATGAAATAAATAAAAATAGTATTTTTTTTTACAGCAATGAAGAAAGCAGTCTTAACAATAATGCAAATAATGGAACAAGTACCATTAACAGTGCTGTCAGTAATGCGACCATTAATAATAACAGCAATAACAACAATAGCAGTAGTAATAAAAGCAAAAAAACTCACGATGATGTTAATAAAGATTTGCTGAATGATATTGAGAACAATAATATATACTTCAATTATGCGCATAATATAAATTTTAATGAAATGAAGAATAACGATTCCAATAAAGTAAAAAAAGTTACGACTTCTGTTTTTTCTTATGATTACAAAAAAATTATTAACGAAATTAGTCTTTTCAATGATAACATAAAATATCAGATACCTCATTTGAAATATAAATTCAAAAAATATGTTCACGTTCAGGATGATAGTAATCCTAACAAGAAAAAGAGCAACGCTAACGATTCTGACAAAAATGAAACTACGATTTTTTCTTCCCAGGTCCAGAACCATGCAAATGTAATTGATGACACATTGCAAATACAAAGTAGCAATGATATCCACACGTTGATTCCACATACCAGTACTGATAAGAAAAATAAGGGAAAAAAAAATTCTCCTAAAAACAAGGTAGAAGAATCATCACCCATAGGAGCAGCATCAGATGATTACTTAAAAAAATACGCACAGAAGAACAATAACCTAGATCACAATCAGAAGAATCTAAAACAGATTACTATGAATAAAGCACAAAAAGGACGTACGAATGAATTGCTACTAAAAGAAGAAGAAAAAAAAATGAGAAAAAACAAACCTTCTGAGTTCCCACTAAATAATAAGAAATCATTTTCATTTGATGTCCAAAATGAATCATGCATCATGGGGGAAGAAGAAAATGCAAATGAAAAAAATAATAACAACGATTTGATTATTTCTTCACTCAAAGAGCGCCATTATTACAGTGTCAAGGATAGGAAGAAGTATGACGAACAGATTAAAAATTGCAACGTGGATAATAATGCACCCGCTACATATGCAAATCCAAATGTAAGGGAAAATATTATAGAATCATTTCAAAATGGTGAATGTATAGAGAAGAAACCAGAAAATGTCATGATTAGTCATATCAAATCGAAGAAGAAAGGTAGTAACAAAAGTAATACTTACATCGATAGAAACGGAATCAATAGCGAGGCAGTAGCAATAGTTGACCGATTTCACAAAAAGAAGAAAGAAAATGGAAAGGCCAAAAAAAAAACGACACCAAAAAATTCTGAAAAAAAAAACAAATTAGATCAAGTAAATGTTCTAACAAATGTTTTAGCAAATGAAATTGATAACACTCTGGTGAATCAGCCCCTTCCAAATGAACTGCGTACAAACGTGAAAGAGTACAAAATTGAATCACCGAAGAAGAAGCAGAAACCATATTCTTCCAACTGCAATGAGCAAAGTGACAGAGATGGAAAAAAGAAGAAAAAGGATGAAGAACAAGAAGCTGAAGAAATGGAAGAAAAGAAAAAACAACATGATGAGGAAATGATGATTAATAGGAGTGAGAAAAATGCAAAGAATGATGATGGGCAGTACTCCAATTTCGAGGAAGAAGATGAAGCAACGCATATGCCAGAAGAGGAGGATATATGTACCGAGGAAAACCCGGGTATTAAAAGGGAGGAAAAGAATAACACTAGCAATGATAATTATAAAAACGATGAGAATAGCAGTAATAATAACAATGACAATGGTAATAGTAATGACAATAGTAATGACAATAGTAATGACAATAGTAATGACAATAGTAATAGTAATGACAATAGTAATGACAATAGTAATAATGAGCGAGAGAAACGAATGAACAAAATGGGAAAGAATCAAGTAGCAGATATCTGTAGCTTTCCTTTAGCCTCCTTCAAAGCACGTGGTAGTATTGAAAAGGATGATTTTGAACAAGATCGAAAGAAGACACAGAATGGAGACAGTGAGTACGTCTATGATGATAATGCAACAAGTGATACCATCACAAATGCATATGTGAAAAAAATAAAGATGCACGATCTGAACAAGGGCAAGTGCTCCTATGACAAGGGTAATAAAAAAAATTCTATTTACACATCACGTAAATTAGGAGCAGGTAAAAAAAACATTAAGGATAAGGAAGAAAAAGAAGAAAAGTCGATAGATAATGATTTAAAAGATATAGATGAAGAAAACAGTCTTGGAATCGAAAATTCTCAGTACAGTGGAAAAATAAATGGAAAGAACGACACAAATCAGGTGTCAACTAAAGTGGAAAAACAACTCAACCTGGATAATAAAACAAGAGAGAAGAAATTAAGATGTACTAAAAATCATGATGACCGTAATGATGAATGTATAGTTAATGACAAATATAGTGATAAGGGAAGAGAAGAAGAAGAAAGAAGAGATGAAGAAAGGAACAAAGTTGTAGATAAAAAAATACGCAATAACAAAGGAGTCGAAATGGATACGCCTTGCCATATGGAGGATTATAACAATATTTCAAAAAGTGCAAAAGTTCACAAAGGAGAAAATAATATTAATAATATGCACCATACCAAGGGTCCGAATCGTAAACGTAAAATCGATCAACATTTAAAATATGGTAGCCGAACAAACAGCACGGAAAGAAAAGAATTGTGTATTCAAAAAAATGAGAAAAAAGATGATCATATACATAATTCTTTTGATAATCATCATGTTCGAAATGAGGAGCCACAGAACAAGAAGGAGAAACATACACATTATAATTTCGACAAAACATCAGATAGATATTATTATGAAAATTACAGAAAAGAAGTAGAAAATGAATGTATACCTAGATCATCCAAAAGGAAAGAGCAGGAGGAAGTGGATGAATCTTTTATGATGAAGACAGATGCTGGATACATGAATGAAAAAGAAATAGAACGAACTCAGAAACAAAAAGGGAGTAGCGAAGATGATCCTATTAGACCCTGCTTCAAGAAGAGAGCCAAGACACATGATTACAAGGATGCCCAAGATGATTACCAAGGAAGACGACAACACAGCTTTAAAGGTAGTGATTTAAACGGTAGTTATAACCATAGTGAAAGCAAATCAAGTTTGAATAACGATCGGGCCATTAGAACTTCATGCACTACTGCCTCTATGGATGAGAAGTACGGCTATAGGAACAGTGATAGGAACAGCGATAGGAACAGCGATAGGCATAGTGACAAGCATAGCCATAGGAACAGTGATAGGCATAGCCATAGGAACAGTGATAGGCATAGCCATAGGAACAGTGATAAAAACCTTGACAAAGGTGAGAAATATAAAAATTATCAGCCGACGTATGACGAAAGGGGCGATAGAGGATACAGCAGGTATAACGGAAAACACAAGTTGAGGTACGACGAGGAGGAAGCAGGTAGTAGTAATAGGTATGATAAATATGCAAGGTATGAAACGCATGGAAGATACGAAAAAAACTACGATAGACAAAGTTATAGCAATTGGCATGCCCGTGGTGAGAAACATGACAGGTACTACAATAATGTACACGAATATGAAGAGAAAAATGCAAAGAGAGTGGAGGAACATTTTAAAAATGTAAATTATGAGAACAGACATGTTCTTAACTCTAGCAGTCGAAAAAATAGTAGCCACAGCCCTATTAACAGAAACAGCCACCATTCGGAGGACAAAGAAAAAGGGTTCTTAAATAGGAATTATAAAAGAGAAAGGAAGGAATGGGATCAATGGGATCAACGGGAACAACGAGAGAAAGGCGAAGAAAGAGGAGAAGAAAAGGAAAAGAATTATTCAAAACATACAGAAAAAAAAAACAAGTATGGTTATATGAAAAGCGATTACAAAGGTAGATACGTGGACAGAGACAAGGATGATGAATGTTATAGCAGAAAGAAAAAACAGAATAATCATGAGCTTGAAGAGAATGACCAAAACCATTTTATGGACAATCACAATCGCTATAGTAGATCGGGTGACAATCATCATCATCATAATAATAGTCGCCATGACAGCAATCATTACGACAAACATTACGACAAGAATTATGACAAGCATTACGACAAACATTACGACAAGAATTATGACAAGCATTACGACAAACATTACGACAAGAATTATGACAAGAATTATGACAAGAATTATGACAAGCATTACGACAAGCATTATGATAACCGTTACAATAATCATCATCATAGCAATTATCATTATCATCGCCCAGGAGATTTTAGCAGGAAATTTACAAACAAAAGTTATAAATATAACCATTTCCATGAGGGATAGCCCCATAGTAGTTTTTGTGTGTGTGTGTAAGGATCAACGCAATGTGATGATTCCATTTCTCAAAATAAAAAAAATAATAAAATGGTATGATACATATTCGAATTCGAGCTGTTTCAAATATATATGTCATAATGGTGTACTACCTATTTTCCAAAGAAAATAAAGAAAGGAAAGGAGGATCGGGGAGAGAAGAAGACAAATTCTCCCCCCCCCCCTTTACACCTTTTTATTAAAAAATGTGCAAAAAATAAGGGTTCTTGTTTTTTGCTTCCATTTACTTTCGTTTTTGAAGGATATTGTGTGAGATGTAAATGGGAAGAAAGCATCATGAATGAAATTAAAAACCAAATCTGACCAATCAGAAAAAAAAGTTAAATTTGGATGAGATATATAATAAAATGAAAAGATTTTACATATTATCAAGATATAGGATAAAAACCGAACATATATATATGTTCCATATGAGAGAATATAAGACACACGCAATTTATGTACATATATATATATACCCGCTTTCAAATTGGAGGAAACATTGCTCACCCCTGTGAGTACAGGGAACGACACCTATTACACAAATTAGCACATATATTGTTTTACGTGAAAAATCCCAAATGGATATTTCTGACCTTCCAATGGGGGCAAGCGAAACACCACACATGCACAGATATGCTTATACGCAGATACTTCATCGCATAATTTGAACGCAATGAACATGCCACCAACACTTGGTTTGCTTAACTAACAAAGACGTTGAAATGGCCTAAGGCACATAGTTTTGTTTCTTTTCTTTGTTTTCTTGGTTTTTTTTTTTTTTTTTACATTTTATTTCCCATATTTTATTCTATTTCAAATTAGCATACTTAATTTAGTTTATTTCAGTTTAGCTTAATTTAGTTTAATTTAATTTTATTTATTGTTTTTTTTAATTTTTGTTTGAATTTGGCACAATTTAATATCATGATTAATAATTTTATACCCTTTCTTCGTACTATGCCTACGGACGAGAGAACCGTAGTATTTATATATATATACACGTCCGTCCCTTCCTTTTTCTCTATATTCTCACGGCTTCGATAATTAAATTTACTATTATTTTTATTTTTTTTTTTTTTTTTAATTATTTTTGTATATACATAATTAAAAATTTGATTATTTCTTCACCCCTTGTATGTGGGCATACTTAGGAATAAATTCCTCTATTAATTGCCTTAGTTTTCTTTTTCGCACATTTTTTATACGCTTATAATTGTATTTTTACGCATGCATATAATACATATATATATGTATAACAAACACATTCCTTTTTTTAAAAAACAAAAAAAAAAAAAAAAAATAAGAAAACAAAATAAAAACACGTGAAAAAAAAAAAAAATTCAAAACTGCTAAAACGTATATATAATTATGGATCAAATTATGGATCATTATATATATATATATATATATATATATAACTGATCCAAAGGGGGGGGATATATATGAGGGGTCGTAAATGTGTCCTACTTTGTTGACATTGTCAAATTAATTAATTCACGTAACTTGGAATTATAAAAATTGAACTGTTCATTGAATTCCTTGTTGGATATTCTGAATGTAATCATACATAATTGTAGTTATGTTATTATACGCTTGATGAATTTTATTTATCATGTAAATGCTTGCGTCGTTGTCGCTTTTGTCTAGTTTAAGACGCTTCCTGTATATTGCACCACAAATGTGTTGGGGGAATAATTAACATACGTTGTTATTCAAAAGGGGGTAAAAATAAGTAAGCATAGGAAAAAAAATGTATATAGAAATAGATCAGTAGTTGGTTAGTTTACTAATTTATGTGCATCATGTGTCTGGATGGGTTAGGATATTTTTTTTTTTATTTTTCCATTACTCACCTTAACTTCTCAACTGTGTTATACTTAAAGCAGTTAATGTCCGAATGAGATAAACTCAGAATGGATGAAATCAACCAATCACTCTTTTCCCTTAACAACAAATACCTAAAATGGCATGAGATTTAAAAAAAAAAAAAAAAAAAAAAAAAATGTTCATGTCTATCTTGTGCATACCAAATAAGGACGATGTAATGGATGAAGGGTTAATTATTACACAAACATAGAGACAATGGTCGTGGTTAATCATCCAGCTTTGAGTTCACCAAAGAAAAAATAAGCACAACAAGAATGTGCACATTTTTAACAAATAATAACATATTCCTCCCCCACCCCTCCTTACCCTTTAACAACCAACTGAATGTAAGTAAAAATAAAATATTGCTTTTTCTGACTTTTCATTGTTAAGAGCATGATCATTTCTCTCGTTAACTTAAAAGGCGCCAATTCGAAATTTATGGAAATTCCTGTAACAAAAAGTAGAGATCAAAATGTGAATGAGAATATTAATTTGGGCTTGCGTGCCAAATATATTTGTTTTCATATACAAACACAAATAGGCATGCGGTCCTAAGGGATTTCGAGGTGGTGTGGTGATGGTGGGCAGAAATAGAAAATTGTTTTATTTTTTTATTTTATTATTATTATTTTATCTTTTATTTTTTTTTTATTTTATCTTTTATTTTTTTTTTATTTTATCTTTTATTTTTTTTATTTTTTTTATTATTTTATTTTATTTTTTGTTTTATTTTTTTTGCCTGCCCTCTTACCAGGGTAAATGTTGAGGATGTACCCAAAGTCAATGTGAATAATATTTCCATATTCATCGAAGAGTAAATTTCCATTGTGTCTATCCTTCACTTGCAAAATAAATGAGAGAAGAGAATAGGCCGCTAAGGAACATATAAAATTTCGTAACGCGTAAATATACGTGTTAATATGAGAAAATTTGAGATGGTAGAACTTTATTAGGTTTTGATACTTTCTCCCAATTTCATGTCTGCTCTTTGTATTTGCTAACACTTCAATAACTGCACCTAAATTTTCAAATTTTTTTTTTTTTTTTTTTTTTTTTTTTTTCTTTTGGGAAATTTCTATTCTTTTCGAATATCCACTGAACTGTTCAGGTATGAATGGAATTATACTCTGTTGTTGAATTTCCAAATTTTCTGAAACGTTTATTTGATTATTTTTCATCTTTCCTTGTTCTTCGGGGTCCCGTCTATGGACACTGGGTATGTGTTTGGAATATATGTCTGCTTCTTCTTCTTTTTCTTTTTCCTTTACCTCTGGAAGATATTTTTCATCAACAATGTTACTATTTCTGCTACATTGGTTATTAATAACTTCACCTTTAGTGTTCTCATTTTTCCTTTTTCTGAATAGACGGAAGGAGAAGGAAAATTTGCGCCCACTCTGTCCATTGATAGGAGAAGCACCCGTGGTATCTACTCCTTTTGTAGTTTCATGAGCTGTGTTATTGTAATAATCCGCATGTTCGTTCGTTTGCACACTGTTGTACTTGTTGGTTATGATATTGTATGGAAATAAATTGTAACCTAATTTGTAATCACTTAGAATATGAATAAATATGTGAATAACTTGTATTACCAATTTGTCTTGTCTCACATCATCATTAACTTTGTATATATAAGCCACATCCTCGTAAATTTTATCATGTTCATAAATTTTATTAGATTTTCTTTGCACAAAAATATTACTACCTGTAACTCGGGGTGCCGTACTAATGATATTACTTGTAGCATGCATTTCATATGACTTAGCCCTCCTCGTTGCTTGTGATGCCATTTCATTTTTATACGCTCGTGCGTTCTCCTTTTCCATCTTGCTACATGCAGAATGATGCTTACTTTTTTGTAAATACTTTTTTTTCTTTTCTTCTTCGTCTGCTTCTTCGTCTACTTCTTCGTCTACTTCTTCTGTTGGATAAAATAACCCTGATGAGATCATTCTTTTTACAAAGGTATCAACTTCTCTCTTTTCATCGATGAGGAAATTTCTCTCCTTCGATAGGTTCCCTAATTCAATACACATACTATCTTTGCTATTATTCTGATTTAAATTTTTCATGTTCTGAAACGGACAAGAATAGTTCTGAACTCCTCGTTTCCTGGAGTTGTTATCGGTTGATGTCATTTCCTTTAAAATTTGGTTAAAGTACACATTGCTTCTATCTCCTGCGTTCACTTGTACTTCCATCCATGGGTTCACTACTCCTGGTTTTGCATTTTCTCCTCCCTTTCTTAACACTCGCTGGTTGTTCTTGTATGTTTTGAAATTCAAAAGAATAGGAGACCTCGTAGCAGACATGAGAATTTTTATGTCATCCGAGAGGTGAGAAACCACATTGTTGCTTGTTAATAATTTTATTTTTTTCACGTTGATGCTATTGAGCAAATTTCGAATTTCCATTTTTACAAAATCATGTTGTATTTTTTTATCCAATTGAGATGCTCGTTGGCTTGTGTAGAAAATGTAATTATGAAAATGACATGATTCAATTAACATCTTTCTGTTTTTATAACACAAATTTTGTAGAAATAATTTTTTAATAAGAAAACATTTTAACGTTAGTACGTGTGATTTTTTCACATAATTTTGGTATTTAAAAAAAATAAAGTTACTAATGTTTATATTGTTCTGATTTATATTACTACTGTTTAGATTTCCATCATTCCCGTTTCCATTGTTTTTTCCATTTCTGTCATTTTTATTTTCTGTTGATGAATTCCATTTTTGCTTCTTTTCATCATTCTTCTTCACAAGGAGAAACATAAAAAAGTCCTTGATTGGGTTGGTCTTTTTGATAAATAATTCCGTGTTGAATAATACACACTGGTGGTTTATGTTCTTATTATCCCAAGTACTTAGTGTGTTATGATTAGTATCACCATGATTTTCACATGTCGCTGGAAGTAGCGTTTCACTTTTTGTATTTAATCCTTTGGAGACATCATAGGTGCAGGGTAAGTCAGCCAAATATTCATCATTTATATACGTGTGCAAATTGAGAAAAAACTGGTATAAAAAACGAAAAGAATGAAATGAAAAAAAAATAATAAAGAAAAATATTCGATTCCCTACGTCTACCTTTAAATATTCAAACAGTTGCAAATACATACAATTTGTTATTGTGCTTTTTTTATACATGTATATCAAATTGTTTACTGCTACACTCTTTATGAATAGACCATACTGTGGATGACTATACAAAATTTTGATTATATCATTTAAACTAAATTGATTACAATGGAGAAATAAAATATTCGATATAGGAACATAAACAAGTTTATTTTTTCTAAATAAAAACAAATTATATTTATTTATTGTCAATTTGTTACTTATATTTACTTGAATTAGGTATTGATTTATTATATTTAATATATCTTTGTAATTGTACATGCATAGAAAATTCACCATTTTGTGAATATCACTGTTTATAAAATTTATTACTTTCACAATAAAGGTACTATATAATTTCGGGTTATTATGCATGTGTCTCTTGATATATTTGGCCACCATGAATAATGAGTATTTACTTATCTCCTCATTCATTTCCTTCAAATCAATGTTAAAATTGAATAAAGAGTTGTAAAAACATAAATTCAGATATGTATATATATATTCAATTTTTTTAAATATTTTGTAAAATAGTGACAAATTGTGCCTGTAATAATATGAGTACAACACTTTCAATAATCCTCTCCCTATTTTTATTTTATAATCAAATATTTCAAACTTTTTCCTATAACAAACGTTGATATTCGAATGTAACGACGTGTAATTGAATATGTTGTTAATATAATTGTTTATTTTCTTTTCCTTGTAGTTGTTGTTAAAGCTTATAAACAAATGTTTTATTCTCTCTATGTTTTCCTCCTCCTCCTCCTCTTCTTCTTCTTCTTCTTCTTCTTCTTCTTCCATGTCTCCTATATCAGCTTGAAGAAGTTTATTAATGCTGCTGTTTTTGATACCCCTTGACTCGGGATTAACGAACAGATTGTTGACTCTTACAGGATTGATAGGGTTATTATTATTCCCCAAGTCCTGATTTTCCTCTTTTTCACCTTTTTTCATTCTTTTTCGACCGATAAAAAACTTTTTAATATTCCATTTTGATCTCACAGCATTATTCTTACCTCGCTGTGCATCTTCCTCATGTACACGATAAATGCCGTTATAGTAATAAAAGGCACTTCTGCTTCCATCACCACTTGTTTCTTTTTTGAAATTTTTTTTTTTTTTTTTTTTTTTTTCTCTTTTTCTTTCCTTTTTCTTTTTTTTCTCCTTCTTTTTCTTACTCATTCTAGCCAACTTAGCTTTGTAATTATCTGACAAAAGTTTATAATTCTGGAAGTAATTTATCGAAATTCCATTCAAGTTCCTACCCTTTTTCGGCACCTTATCTCTGAAGAAGTAGTTATTTATAGAAAGATTCTTTGCATTTCTTGGTGCATCGTATTTTTTCCTTCCTCTCTTTAAAAAAAAGGCCATCTTCCTCATACTCTTCCTCTTTCTTGGCTTATTTGACTTCCCATCTTTTCTCTCGCTGCAGCTACTTCTGCCACTGCTTCTGCCACTGCTTTCCTTGTTATGCTCCTTCTCGCACTTATCAATTTCAACACGTTCTTCTCCCCACCTGGAACTATGAAAACTAGTCTTGCTGTTACATCTGATTGCAATACCACTTAGACCACTCATGTGAGCCCATGGTTGTCCTCTTTCCGATTCTCCCATTCTAAGAGATGTATTTCTCTGGTTGTGTGTGTTACATCTGCGTTTCTCACAATTGTTATTTATACCTGTTACATGAAATGATCGTCGATCCAAACCATCATTTGCATGGTACTCTTCTTCTGGAAGTACATCATTGGGAATGTTGCAAAAACTTAAAGAACTTAATCCATTTACACTAGTTTGATACGTCATGTAATCTTGCTGGTAAGCACTTCCGATAAAATCATTTTTGTGTTTATTTTCCAAATTGTTTATCACATTTTTATTTGACAAATGAATATTTCCATTGCTGTAGCTTTCCTTTTTCTTCGTTTCAATGTCATCCAAACAAATATACTTTATATTATTGAAAATGCACATATCTGTAAATAGTTTGCATTTGTACAAGTTCATGTATATACTTTCTACTAAATGCAATGTGTTCATAATGATGAAATCAAAATTGAGTAAGTGCCTGATATTTATGACAATGTCGTTTTTCCCATTATAATTCTGGAAGGAATTAATTTCTTTTTTCTTTTTGAAAGTTTTATATGAAAATATGAAGTAATTTTTTTTTTTCATATCTTTATACTTATACTTCATCTCGAACATGTACATAAGGCAGTTGTAAATTATATTGCAAAGGTATATATATTTGTTTATGCACATGCACCGTAATTCTTCTTTAATATTATAATCATACAACCTTTTTTTGTTTCTTTTATAATAATTTAACATATACTTATATGCATTCAGCAGGGCCACGTCTTTTTCTTGCGCTTTCCGTTGACAAAACAAGTTCGCCCAATCTTCCTCATCCTCTGCCTTCTCATCTGCTACCTTCTCAACCTGGTTATCACTCCCGTTACAACTTTCTTGTTCTTTATTATAATTTGCATTGTTGACATGCCCATTATACCTTTTTGCTTGCCGTCTCCTTCTTATGAACTTGTGGTTCCTCCTCTTACAATTTTTCTCTTGACAGTAACAAGTATCATCACATGGGCTGCACTTGGCATATTCCTCAAATTTTCCTATATTTTCATCATCATAGTAACAATTTCCCCCTATCTTTCGTGTCTCCATTTCATCCTTTCCTTTTTCATTACCCATTCGAGTCACTTTTTTCTTAAAAAAAGAAATAATCCCACCAGCATATTTTTCTGTAGTAGTATTCTTCTCTTTTTGTTTATTCATTTCAACACACTTTTTGTTGCATCTCAACTGTTCATTTGTGTACATCTGGGAAGGACGCATCTCTCCCAAGTGTTCCATATATGATTGTCGTCTACACTTCTTTATCTCTTCCATGCAACTTTTTTTTCGCACAAAATTTTCCTCATTTTGTGAACTACACTCTTTGGGTTCAGCCTCAATCGATTTAGTCCGTAAATTGTTTTTTTCTTCCTCTACACATTTTTCTGCCCCTTGACTTACAATGTGGTTAATAGTACCACACATACGACTCGTCGAATTAGGAATTGCCAATTTTCCTTCATTTTGGTAAAAAATTTCGAGATATCCCATCCTCCCTCCTCCTACTTCTGGAGTCTTCTGTTCTTTATATGAATCTTGCATGATCATGGTATTTTCTTCACCTGTTTCTACATTTTCAGTTATTGAATTTTCCTCACTCGCTTCTCCATTTCGAATTGCTAAATTTTCATGAAGACTATTTTCTCTGTCATTCAGCTGTTTTACATTTTTTCTCGAAATTGAGATAATTCCATTTTGTGCATCCTTTTGCACATTTATGACTCTTGCTTCATTCGTGGGGGCTGCACATTTGGCTAGTTGATCTTCTCTAATGTGTTTCTTCCGTTTTGTTTCTGCTCCTACACGATCCCAAACGACAGGAAGTGCATTTTTACCATAGGAACCAACAGAATATTTATTTGCACAATTGATGCAGTAAATATCTGGAAGTATGTTATCAAAATTGTGAAAAAAAAAGCATAAAAATAAAAAACCTTTCTGTAGTAATAGTTTATTAAAATCGAAAATGTCATTAATGCATAGAGTATTTATTTGTTTATTTATAGTGACCATGTGGTTTTTCTTTTGTTTACTTCTGCTCGTCATAAATATGTACACATTAAAAAAGGTAAAAAAATTATGCAAATTGTAATCGTACAAAAAATAGCTATATTTATACTTTGAATATAATTGTATAAAATAACTATAGGAGTGAAAAAAGTTGGAGGTATAATTAAAAATCTGAACTATACTTGAAAATAGAATACATACAAAATGGTAGTTTATTTTTAATAATTTAAAATTGTACAAGTATATATTATTCATACTCTCCATATGTACACTGTTATAAATGTCCTTAATCTTTGCATTTTCGTGTATGTAAAAATTTATAAAAAGTGAAATCACTGATATATCTTTAAAGCAATCCAAAAGGTAAAAAATATTTTTCATATTTATTTCAAAATAGTTGTTTATATATTCCTTTGTTTTCTTTTTAAATATTTCCTTCAACTCTTTGAAAGCGTCCTTATATATGCAATCATTGTATTCGCTCACACTTCCATCACTTTCATCTTGTGAAATTATTTCCTCATTTTTGCAGTATACAACATTGGGAAATTTCTGATCCTCATAAATGTGACCATTTTCTGCAGACACAGAATTGAACTTGTGCACACGAGAAAAATGCTCATAGCTATCCTTCTTATAATTATGAAAATACAAATTTGCATTCTTGTAATAATTTAAATGATAAAATGTTTTCAAATTTTGCAGCATGTTAAAAGTGTTAATAAGACGATACATATAAAAACTTTTTATAACAAATTTTATCTCTTTCATTAATGAGAACGTGCTATAATTTATACTCAATGCTGTGTTACTAAAAATTATGAAAAATTCTAAAGTGACAATCAAATAATTACATAAGTAAGGAATGTTTAAAAAATAAATTTCCACAATTTTTTTCATCAGGTAGTAGTTATATTTATCCAACAATTTTAATTTCCTTTCAACTGCTTTTGTCTCAGATAAGTTTATATTCCCATACATAAGAGATATAATATTTACATAAACAAACAATATCAACACATTGTTAATAAGGGTTATATATTTTTCCAATATATACTGGTGTGAAAATTTATTGCTTTGAAGCTCATTCTGAATTGATAATTTTCCCTTTCTTATATATTCATTTACATAGTACTTGATCATTTTAATATCACTTTCTACAAAATTGTGTTCCTCTTTATTCAGGAACAATGATTTCTCGCGCTCACTTTTTCTCAAATCCATCCCTTCTTTTTTCCTCACATGCAGCAATCTGTAATCATTTAATGAGCTTATCCTGCACATAGGAGAAAAAGACTCTTTCTGTAAATTCTTCTTATTACCATAAGGACTGTGGTATACAAGATCACTGTCATAATAATCATCATTTTCACCCTTTTCACCCTTCTCATCATCCGAGTCATTCACGAATTCTCCTTCCCTGGTGTGAAGGATTATTGCACATCTATCTATCAGAAAATTTGCTACAGTTACAGACTTGACAAAAAATTTGGCCAAAATTTTTACAAATTTGTAGAAGAAAAAAAAGTAGTAATTGAAAAAGGCATACTTGTAATTATACACACATAGAATAGTCGAAAGTGTATAGAGGACGTATATATACTTATTCTTTATGCTTATTTTTGAAATATTTGTATTTCTGAAGGGTGTGTGTGGGTGTCTCCTTAAAATATGATCAAAATTGGTGTTGTAAATATTTTTAAATCGTTTATTCTTGTTTTTAAATATGTTATAATAAAAATAAAAAAAATAAAATTTGAAGTTTTTCTTAACAATTTTGGAAATGATATATATATAATTATTGTTCAGTGTATCCAAGTTTAAATTATTAATATTGGTAGCTAAAAATATACATATTACAAAATTTATAATATTCATATATTCCTTAAAATATTTCTTATTATATAATACACGCTTGCATATTTTTATGTCATAAATGTTATATATAAATGTATTTCCCCCTCGTATCTTTTTTAAAATCTTAAAATAATTCACATCATTATTTATTGTTTCATTTGCCAAAGTATCATCATTAGTACTTCCAAAAAATTCACTGAATTCTTTATTCGTTTCGAAAAAATTAGAATTTATGTTTTTTCTCCTTCTAACAATTCTTCCATAGTTCAAGAATGGATCTTCGCTCTTATTATTCATTGATCTTATTTTCCTGCTTCTATTATACTGCTTTTGTTGTTTCAATGATGGGAGACTCTTCATCATCATCATCATTACTCTCCTATTGTCATGCATTTTTGAGTAGCTCTTTCTCCTGTCTAACCACGGGTTGTTACTCATTTCATATTCAATATTCTTGTCGATTTTATTTGAGGTTTCTACCTCAATCTGTTGAACAGATGAACTTTTATCCAATTCTCTTCCGTCTTCGCTGATATGATCTTCGCTTTTTCTCACACCACCGTTAGTCTTACCTGTTTGAATATCCAACTCCTTTTGCAATGGCTGCCCATTGTTAGATTCCTTCCTTTGTATCAATTCTGTTGATCTGAAATTCTGTTCCTTTCTCTCTGAAACAATATCTTCGACTGTTCCACTTTGATCACTTTTCTCCAAACAGTGTGACATACTAGCATGAGAATTTAAGACACATCTAACTGATTCATCGCAAACGTTATCACGAGAAGAGGTGTGGTTTGAAAGGGAAATGATTCTACTACTCCTCTTCCTCTGTCTAATACACGTGGAGCATATCTGATTGTGCTTCCACACATCGGACATATATTTATAATTATAATCCTTGTACCTTTTGGTGTATTTTTTGACGCAGAAAATGTAAAATTCATAATAAAAATAAGAATACAAATTTTCAAAGAATTTTGAACAATTTAACATCTTCAAAAAGAGCAAATAATTTATAGTAATGTATAAATTGACTTTGTGTATAATTTTGATCATAACATTTTTCTTCTTATCTATGAGACTTTTATAATTTTTTTTTTCCTCATATATCATTTTTGAAAATGCATAATCCAAACTACTTTTCTCAATGTTCTTTAAAAAGCATATGAGAAAACTACTGTCAAATAAAATGTTCAATTTCAATTTGAAAATATGATCAAATATATAGTATATATAATTCCGGACAATTTTATTATAATTCATAATATTCATCAGTAAAAAAAAAGTAGAAAATATAAAACTGTAATCGTGAAAATTGTGCATATCGTTTAAAAATACGTATATCTTATAATTAATTAATTTCTTTACATTCTTGTGTAAATATTTATTTCGAAAAATAGATTTATCAATAAGTAAATAAAGGCTATATAAAATATATTCCCTTTTTCTCATACTTTCTATATAGTATATTATAAGTAAATACAACTTATCAATATCGTTATTGTTTAATTTCAGTTCATCATTCTTTGTTTTATTTTCTTTAACCAATTTCAAAATTTCCTTTTTGCACACATTATATATGTTCATCTTGTTCATATATTTAATACATAAAATTGGAGTTATTTCAACAATTTTTTTCTTAATCAGTTGCACTTCCTTCCCGTTAATGTAATCCTTTTCATATATATCATAATACAAAAATGTGAAATACAGCTTATAAAAATATAAAGATAACAACGTTAAATATTTGTTATATTTTCTTAAGTTTCTGTATAAATAGTGAAATGTATTGCTGAACAGATGTATTTTCACTTTGTCGATTATTCCTAACAATATATTCAACGCTGCCTTACGGTTATTTCCTCGAAGAAAAATAGAATAAATCTCACCATTATCATATTTGCCTCTTTCCAGATCATCCATTTTTTCTCTTACTTCTCCCTCTACATTTGCATATTCTTTTATCATCCCCTCGTACATAATTTTCTTTAACGTTCTACCATTAGAAGGTGTGCACCTTTTCTCCTTTCTGATATTGTATGCATGTGAAATGGTGTGTGTATTATTCCATGAAATTTCCTCCTCTCGTTTGCACCTTTTCCTAACACATTTTGAAGGCTCATTATCTCTATCATATGAAACTGGTTCGCCCTGCAATTTTTTCTTCTTCATTAATTCAGATTCAATTTCTCTATCCATTCTTTTGATTATTTCATGATGTAAGTGTCCATTAATTCGGAGAAGGTCAAAATAGGGAAGAGGTTTTTTTTCAACAAAGGAAATAATGAAAAGTAACATGGCAGAAATGTATTTGTATATGTGCACATATGGTATTATACTTTCGAAGGATTTGAGGATGAACAAATAAAAGTAACTCATATGATCACTTGCATCATAGTTAAAAACACAATAATTGTAATTTACAAACAAAAAATGCAATAAAAAATTTTCGTCTTTTTTTTTTTTTTTTTTTTTTTTTTTTTTTTTTCTTATTCTTTTTTTTTTGGGTTGGTAGTATTTCCCTTTATTTGATACACGTCCCTTAGCCATGTTGTCACTTTTGCTTAATCTCCTTAAACTCATTTCTTTATTCAGATCAATCGAATTAATGGAATGGAAGGAATCGCTAGGGTGATCGGAATTACTTTCCAATGGATCAGCACATATGTCATTCGGTACGTGTTTGATTTTCTTTATTTTTTCTTTTATGTTTAAACTAATGTTAAAAATAACCTTACGGTTTATTTGCTTCTTTTTTTTCTTCAATAAAAAATATTCATTGATGTTATCATTCAAATTGTGCAAAAATTTCAAATTAAATAAAAAATTAAAATAATAGTTTTCATTGCCAAAGTAAGGAAATTTGTGGTTTACAATCTTCTTCAAAAAGTTGTAATTGGAATAGCTCTGTTTCTTTTCTATGCTTGAAATAATAAAAGTTTTATTCGTAAAAAAAATACTTTTTTTTTTTTTATCACTCATTTTTATATTACTATGCATCTTAAACATTCGATTAAATGACGATACGTTTTCAATTAGATGACTTTTTTTTTTTGAAAAATTGTCTTTCACAAATGAGCTAAAATTATTTTTGAACATAGCCTTGTAATTAAAAATGTTACTACAATAGTAGTGTACCTTGTTTATGTATATCGCAAGATAATTCTTACAATTACTCTCAACGTTAATTTCTTCCTGTTTTTTTTTTTTTATTAACTCTGACAAGAGCTTTTTCATCAATAAAGGAAAGTATATTTTGGCATAAATTTCTTCCCTTCCTCTGGGAAATCGTCCACAACTACTATACGTGTAACTCCTTAAGGTGCAATTGCTGATGGTATGATTTCTGATCATGCAGTTTTTGATGATGCCATTACCAACTTTCAATATGTTCTTCTCCAAAAGATCTTTAGTATCGCTCCTATTTGCACAGTTGTCACGTGTATGCAATAAACTTCCAACGTCTTTTTCCAAAATACCTATGTTTATAACATCTGATATTGTATTATTACGCGTCTGGTTAATAGCTGCATCTGCTCCTGAATCAACCGGTGCTGCTGCCACAGCATCCTTCATCAAATTGCTTCTACTCTCTTTAAACGAAACATTCTTATAGGAATCCTCAGACAAATAATGAAGAAAATTCAACTTGACATAGGTGTTTACCTCAACATTAATACTATTTTTTTCATGTAAAACCAGATTTGAATTGACCAAGAGAACTCTATCTAGGTTATCATCCCGTGGAATATTTTTCTCTTCAGATTTGTTATCCTTGAGTTGGATTTCATCATTCGGTTCTGCTTCCTCCTCTCCTGTCGATATATGATCAGCAGAAGGCTTGATTTCCAACATATTATTGTGATACCTGTCTATGACAACAAATGTATCTCCCTTTTTTTTATATTTAGTCAATATTGTTTGTATGAAGTAATTTAATTTTTTATTATTCAAAATGAGACAATTTATAACTATAAAGGCGTAGCTGGTTGCAGGTGGAGTTGCCATCGTGCTTCTTAAAACAAAGTTGTAAAAGAAAGTAACAATGTTAACAATATGTATAACTTTCTGGTTTGTCATTTGTATACCTAATATTTTATTAACAAAGGAAAATTTATTGCTGCTCAAAATGGATTCAAAATTCTTTGGTGCTATATGTAAAAGAAGAATTAGTATCAAATACATTTCGTACATGTAAAATATACAACTTTTCAGTAGGTATATATGTGCAGAGTTGATTAGAGAATTATTATTTGCTTCTCCTGTTCCAGTTACTCCTTTTTCCTTTTCTCGATTTTTTTTTTTAACATTTTTGTTGATTATATAAAAAAGGGTGTTAAAGTAATATTCGTATAGGTATAACACCCTATTGTATAGCACTGCTGAGAAGTAACCTGTCTTTTTACAATCTTTTTCATTAGCAACTCGATAAATTTCTTGCACCACATATTTGGCTACTTTCCCAATTGCATTATGCAAATAAATAGTTAAATATATTCTATCTTTTTTGATTAACAGAATTTCTGACAATCGGAGTAATTTCAAAAATATCAATTCTTTCACTCTTTTGTTTTGTACAAGTAGAAGCTTCTCACAATCTTTGTGGTTCTTCCCATCAATCAGAACATTTGCTTCATTTATAAGTGTTGTGGGTTCTAATGTCCCTTCATTTTCTTCCTTTACAAGAAGATCAGCTTCTTCTTTGTTCTTCCTCTGAAAGGTAATAGAAACAGATTTTTCTTCACATAAAGAATCTAACAAATGGTAATCCACGGTATTCTTCACTATACTCAAGAGGGTAAAAATGCAAAAGACATTCTTCCTATTATGCAAAATATACTTTTCTACATGCTTCAAAACTTTTAACTTACTCATGTATTCACATCCAAATGTAACAAAATTTTTGTAATATAACACTAGCTTATTTTCTCCATTTTTCCTTTTGTACTTTTCAAAATAGTACATATATTTATCAACCAATATATTGACAACATTGTACACATAATCGTAAAAACAAATAAATAATTTATCAGTATTGGAATTTTTTTTTATATGAATAAATAGGTAAATAATTAAATAAATATATTTTGAGATCACATAAAATTTCTTCTCACTTAAAATTTCAAATATTTTAAATTTATAAATGTTAATTAAAAAGGTTAATAAAATATTTAAATAACATAGGTGCATTAATTTCTCTAAAGTATTTATTTTCTTAAAAAATAAATATTTTTGTAAAGTCACAAATGTTAATACGTGCAAATAATACACAAACAATTGGATAGTATTATTTTCTTTATAATTCCTATTTAATGTCACAAAATAGGATACATGAATGATGATGTAGCTAAAATACAAATTCAGTGATCCCAGTTTTAGACTAAACTGTAATTCTGATTCTTTCTTCTCGTAACATCCTTTAATTTCTTTATTCCTTGTTGCTAGTCTGGTTTTAAATACTTCCCTCAGATGGCTTTCAAAGGATGGAAGCAAATTGAAATATAGAACAAGCACATTACTGTCCTGTCTGCGTGCAAGAGAAGGTGAGAAGTGGAGAGGAGAATGATTGCTGTGTATCCATTAGTTCTCATATTTATCTACACTTTTTTGTATACACAATTAACGATTTTATTATTTATTTAATTTATTTATTATTCATTTATTTATCATTTATTTATTATTCATTTATTATTTATTTATCTATTTATTTTATTTTATTTTATTTTTTTTTTTTTTCCCCTTTGCTCATTCTCCGTTTTTATGCGTACCCAATATGTCGTGACTCCAGAGAATTACACAAATAAAAAATCAAGGCCGTTTTTTTTCTTCCACCATTTTGGGTATGAATAACATATTTAAATATGTTATCTATATTAACATCCTTCAATACCTACAAAATGGGCAGAGACAAAAAAAATGGGAATTTTGGGGTTATAGCTTATGAAAGGAAAGGAACAAACAAATAACACACATCATAATAAAAAATGTAAAATTAATACAATAAAAATCGTGTACCATCCAATCAAACAGGATATAATAATATGTATCATTAGGTGTAACAACTTCATTACGTAAGTATTTAAAAAAAAAAAAAAAAAAAAAAAAAAAAAAAAAACTAATAAAAAAAAAAAAAAAATAATATGTATCATTAGGTGAAAAAACTTCATTACGTAAATATTTAAAAAAAAAAAAAAAAAAAAAAAAAAAAAAAAACCTATGTGCATAAATGAAATTTAGTTTATTCTTTTACGCACGCTGCATTACATTGTATTTTTCCTCCATATCACATTTCATCCTTATAGAATTTTATTCTATTTGTTCATTCCGTAGGAAAGAAAAGAAAATTCAGGGGGTGGGATATGCTATTTATTTTTCTACTTTTTACATTCAATCGGAATACTTAACATGTGTAAAAAGGATATAACAAAAAAAAAAAAAAAAGAAAATCACAAATAAGTGGCTCAACTATCAAATGGTGTGTACACGAATTGAAAAGGCACAACGGAAAACAAAATGAAAAAACTGCAATTGATGCAAATGGTAACTCGTGACAGAACGTGTTAAAAAACCATTTAACAAATAGACCAGGAATAAACAGACCGTTGGTTAATACTCATAAAACAACGT